CAAAAGCTGCCTGATTTCCGCAGGATTTGAAGCAGTGTTGTTTTTCAGGTTATTGCCCCCCCCACACACACACACCCCACCCTTCAACCTCTTGGGCCGGGACCTCCTCTCCAGAAAGAAACAGTTATGGTCTGTTTGCCTCCCTAATCTCTGTCATTTCAAAAGCTGCCTGATTTCCGCAGGATTTGAAGCAGTGTTGTTTTTCAGGTTATTGCCCCCCCCACACACACACACCCCACCCTTCAACCTCTTGGGCCGGGACCTCCTCTCCAGAAAGAAACAGTTAAGTGAACTCCTTTTCATTATGATATGATGGAGAGTATGCACCCATGCATGAGAGAGACAGACAGAGACAGAAGGACAGAGAGAGAGAGAGAAAGCACCCTCAGCAGGGTCTCACTGTGCCCTGGTTCCCCTTCCCCAGCCCTCCAGCTCCTCAGGATCCTGGGTGTCGAGGCAGGGGCCCAGTGTCCTTCCCGGCACACCTGGGGATCCAAACCCATGGTCAGCCATGTGGCTTCCAGCACTGCGGTCCAGCACACCACAGACTATGTGCCTCAGCAGGGCCCTCTTTCTTTTTCAAAAGCTCTGCATTTTGAAAAAGAATTCGCAACTCTAATTCTTTGGTATTTATTTGGTCAAGATACCTCCAAAAGGTATGTCCTGCTTGCTTTTGGCCTGAGGTCTAATTTTCTTTTCTTTTACTTTTTGCTATGGGTGCATACCTTCACCAGAGACAGAAAGAGAAAGAGAGGAGGGAGAGTGAGAAATCACCCCCTCCCCACAGGGGTGGTGGCCAACGCTGCAATCCCCTCTCCTCCAGTCTCCTCTCAGGAGTTTGGGTATGCACACACATGCCTGGTATTTTTGCCAAGCCTCCTGGTTCAGGACTCAAACCACATAGTCAGTCACATGGGACCCAGCGCCTCAACTGCCCTGCCCCCTGCTGGCCTGGTCTGATTACCTTCATAGGAGGCCACCACCATCCCTCCTCTTATTCTTTGCCCCAAGAGGTCAGACTCGCATCCACACGCCAGTCCCCAGTTGATTACCCATGGCCCGCAGACCCTGGGGACTGCTCCCTGTTCCTCGTGTCCACTTCCACTGCCTACTCTCCCGCCAACTTAACCAAATGCTCTTGGGCCTTCTAGGGCCAGTTTTGTTCACTCTCCCTCCATCAGCGTTCCCAGAACCCACCAGTCCACACCGCACCATCTCATATTCCACAGTTCCATTGCACTTACTGAGAAGAACAAACATACTTTGGTCTTCATTCTTCTCCAGTTAGGGGACCGTCCATGCTACTGCAGAAAGAGTTTGCATTTTAGAATTGTAAAGCCAGATTCTAGATTCATTTACTAGCTGTGAGGCTTTGGGCAAATCGCTGCACTCTCTTAACCTGTTTTCTCAGTTGTAAAATGGGGATTGTGGTCTGGGAGGCCCAGTTATTAGGGGGATAAAATAATGAGATTTTTTAAAGAATTATTTTTAATTTTATTTATTATTATTTAATTTGCTATAGGACATGTGCACTCACCAGAGAGACACAGAGAAACAGAGAGAGAGAGAAAGAGAGAAAATGAGAAACCATGCAGCCAGGTCCAGGACTCAAATGGCTGTTGGCCATGGGGGAGTCCAGCACCTCAACCGACATGCCAACGTGCTGCACCCCCTTTTTATTTTTGCTATAGGGTACATTAGCTTGCCAGAGAAAAAAGGGGGGGTGGGAGGTAAGAAAGCAACTCCCCAAAAGGGATGCCCTCCTCACAATCCCTTTTCCAGTCTCCTCTTGGGATTCTAGACACACATGCACATGTGTTTAGCACGTTTGTTTTTTTTTCTTAAAAAGTTTTTGCCATAAGGCACATGTGCTTGCCAGAAAGACACAGAGACAGCGAGGGGGAAAACAGAAATCACCTCCCAGGGGGATGGCCGCACTGCTGTCCCTTCTCCTGTCAGGATTTTGGGCATGCATGCACATGTGCCCAGTGTGATTATCAAACCGTCAGGCTCAGGATTTGAATTGCAGTCGACCATGTAGGAGTTCAGTGTCTTAACCACTACACCACCTGCTGGCCCGCTCCATGTGTTTTTAAAGCCACTGGATCCGGGATTCGAAATGCACAGTCATGTGGGATCCAGCCGCTTTAACCACCATGCCAATGACTGGCCCCAAATGATGATATTCTGTTTGCTTTTGAGTGATGATATTCCTGAAGAGCTCTGTAAACTGCTAAAGGGCTGCACACATAGGGGCCAGAATTGAGCTGTCTAGCCCTGTCACCACTCGCTTCTCCTTGGGTTCATGTGAAATCAGAACTTTGGGGAAGTGAGGCGGTAACAGACCAATCAGCATAAAGCTAGCCCACCCGAAACCTCTTCCTAAAACCCATCCCGCTGATAACCAGTTTGCTTTAAAGTCAAACTATTGAATAGTAATTTTAAAATAAGGCATTTTGCACTGATTTTCCCAGAAGGCACTTCCAACAAAATGTCGCCTTTTTACAAAACTATTTTATTTTATTTATTATTGTTTAGAGGTTTTTGCCTTAGGGTGTGTGAGCTCACTGGTGAAAGAGACAGATACAGTGAGGGGGAAAGCGAGAAATCACCCCCAGGGGGGATGGCCATGCTGCAATCCCTTCTCCTCCATTCTCCTCCTGGGATCTTGGGCCTGCCTGCGCATGCGCCTGCTATCATTACCAAGTCATTGGATCTGGGACTTGAATCACGGTTTGCCATCTGAGAGTCCAGTGACATAACCGCTATGCCATCTGCTGGTCCCTTACTATTATTTCATATTTTTCTATAGGGCATGAGTACTCACCAGAGAGTGACAGAGAGAGAGAGAGAGAAAGCAAGTTGCAAGTTCTGGGACTTGAACCACAGTTGGCCATGTGGGAGTCCAGCACCTTAACTACCATGCCACCTGCTGACCCTCATAATGTCACTTTTTTTTTTTTAAGAATTATTTTAAGGACCAGCAGGTAGTATAGTGGTTAAGGCACTGGGCTTTCACATGGTCGATCATGATTCAAGTCTCAGATCCGGCAGCTTAAAACTTACACTGGGTGCATGTGAATGCATGCCCCAAATCCTGAGAGAATAAAAGAGAAGGGATTGTGGCGTGGCCATCATCCGTGGGGGAGGGGGGGTGATTTCTCACTTTCTGTCTCTGTCTCTCCGGCAACTGCACACACACTATAGCAAAAATCTCTCCCCCAAAATAATTAAATAATTATTTAATTTTAGTTATTATTCTTATTTCTTAATTTGAGAAGAGAGAGAGAGAAGTGAGAAGGCAAGCCACCAGGTCTGGGACTCGAACTGTGGTCAGCCATGTGGCAGTCCAGAACCTTAACCACTACACCATCTGCCAGCCCCATAATGTAACATTTTTGCTATAGCGTGTGTACTCACTGGAGAGACAGAGACAGAAAGTGAGAAATCAACCCCTGGAAGTTTTTATTTCATTAAATAATTATTTTTATTTATTATTATTACTGTTGTTATTTTCAATTTGATTAGAGAGAGACAGAGAGAGAGAGAGAGAGTGAGATAGCAAACCACCAGGTCCAGGACTCAAACCATGGTCAGCCATGTGAGAGTCCAGGACATTAACTACCATGCTACCTGCTGGCCCCTGGCATGAGTTTTAAGTCTCCAGGTCCAGGACTCAAACTGTGGTCGACTACGTGGAAGTCCAGTGACATACCATTATGTCCTCTGTTCATCACCATTATGTCACATTTTAAAATCACTTTGTCAGTGGGGCCAGCAAGTGGCACGGAGGTTAAAACAGTGGGATCCATATGGCTGGCAGCACAGTTCAAGTCCCAGACCCGGTGGGTTGAAACACACTCCAGGCATGTGTGCATGCAAGCCCAAATACCAAGAGGAGAATGGAGACGGGACTGTGGTATGGCCAGGCCCCTTAGGGGATCTGCAAAATGCTTTTTCACCCCACCCCCACCTGCATCTCTCTCTGGTGAGCACACACACACACACACACACACACACACACTATAGCAAAAGCTAAAAACCAGACCAAACCCGAAACCCTCTATCACAATTTATAGCATTTTATCAATGATGAGATTGTCTTCTATGCCTGCCAGTGACGTTTTTCATTGTATCTCCTATTGAGCAGTTTTATGACTTTTTAGCAAGTTCGTCCTGAAGACCCTTCCTTTAAAATTGTGTATGCATAGCGCTAAAGACTTGTCACCTCTGCGATTTCCCATGCGAGCTGGCAAATGCACACGTTTCCACCACTCCCGTCTCCTCCTCCCTGGGTTTTGCTCAGTGCCGTGAATGCCCGTGTGCACCTAATGGGTTTATTAGCCGAATTAGCATGTACCCAACGTTCCTGTCTGTTCCGCAAGATCTCGGCATTTTGACAATAAGCGTGGAGAAGTGAGACAGATGGGGCAGAACTATATCGAACTCCTCGCATTTTATTTGGCAGGCTATCTCATTCATCAAGCAAGTCTACTTCGTGAAACATGAAATGATACACACCAAGTCATTACCAAATGTATTTATTGCTGGAAACAGAACATTTTTCAAGAAAGGCAAACTGGCTAAAAAGTCAAGAAAGTGTTCAAAAGGAGCTAAAATAGACGACGCCCACCACGGATACAAAACAAGTTTTAGTAGAAATCTCACATTGAATCAGCTTGTTCCTGAATCAATTGCTTTTAAAAAATTTCTTCAAATGACACTGCCAAGAACCAAAAACACACCCCAAAATCAGGACACCCGGCCAGATGCCAAGAGACTTCAAAGCGAGCTGCGTTTAATGCGAGCTGGTCGTTAAGCAGAGGGATTCCGTCTGTGAGCTGCGGCCAGGGCGCCTGAGGCCGATGGGCCTAGAACCAATTGGGGTTGCAGGCACTTCCCTCCCTGCACGTGCAACGCATGGGCACAGGGACAACCGTGGCCCTCGGGGGCAGGGAACGTCCCTCCTGAACGTGACCTCCAACAGCAAGGGCAAATGGTCAGCTTTTAACTCTTTATTATAAAGACATATTTACACAGAACGATCTTTACAAACACAGTGAACACAATCAGGGCAAGGGGACAATTTCTTACTGGAAAGGGCCTTAATATCTTTGTATAAATTAGTACAAGAATCATACACAACCACTTTAAATAAGACAGCCCCCCGGCCCACCCACTCCCCTCCTGTGCCCCGTATCTCCCCACTTTCTCAGCCGACCCCCTTTTCTCCCTTTCCCCATGGGGCTGGGCTGGGCTGTATGTCATGGCAGGCTGAGGAGGTGGGAGATGCAGGAATGAGGAGGGGTTAGAAGACCCAGTCCCTGGTGGGGGCGTCAGTGACAGAAGAGACTTTCTGGACACCGGCCGGCCCCACTGCAAGCCCGAGGGGAGTGGGGGAGCACAGCCCAGCTCCTCGGGGTGGGCCTGAACGCAGCAGCAGCAGCGGCATTAGCAGCGGCAGAGATGAAGGGCTTGGGGAGAGGCAGACAGGCAGAGGTCCGGTCGGGTTCATTGTGGGACTTGGGGGGCCCTGATTCCCCCTGCCCCCACACATACGTGGGCGAACATCAGGCTTTTGCTTTCTCCTTTCTCTCTCCTGGGAGGTCCCTGAGAAGGAAGCCTGCTCAAATACAAGGCAAGAGAGCCCACCTTCAGGGTAAGGCTGGTGGAGGCCCTCAGAGAAAATGGGGGTCTCCTGGGGGAGGGGCGCTCTTCCTGTCTGTCCTTCCTTCCTGTTCTTCCCTTCCTTTCTCTCTTCTCTCCCTTCCCTCTTCACTCTTCTTCCCCTACCCCCCACTGCACCCCCCAATGAAAGACCACCCAGACGGAGGTCCAGTCAACTCAAAGGGAAGGCTATTACTGAGTTCTCAGCACCTGGGCTGCCCCTATTAAAGTACCCAGGCCTGGGAGCCCTGCTGGAAGCGGCGGGAGGTCGGTTAGGGTAGCTTTCAGCCCCTGCCAGGGAACAGAGAGCTGGGGAAGGCCAGGGAGGCAGAGTAGCTCCCTTCCCAGGGCAGTTCACAGCCAGCTTGCCTCTCCTGTCCCTTCCCAGCCACCCCAGCCCCAACCCTGGGAAAAGGCACTTCATTCATTTTGAAATGACATCATCAAGAGGGAAGAGGACATGATAGCATGGGAGTTGGGGGCCCTGGACCCCATGCGGGCTCTGCAGTGACAGCGCAGCGGATGGCTCCCCTCTGCAGGCCTCTGGGCTTGCAGGGCCTTTGCATAAGGAAGTGATCTCCAAGGCCCCTTTCGGCTTGGGTTTTTTTGTGATTCTTGGCAAAAACAACCCTCCTGCTTGGCTTTTCCTCCTGGGAGGGTATAGAGCCAGGCAGGCCCAGCACCTCCCCTCCTTATCTGGAGCTTGAACTGAATGGTGGCAGCCGTGGGCCTAACGCGGGGATGAGAAGAGGCCACAGAGGCCCGTCTTCTCTAGTGCTTCCAGCCCCTTTGCCAGACTGCCACCCACCCCATTACCAGTACCGCCCAGTGCCCCGTCTGGATCCCGACACCCAGGTGGGGGTCCATGGCATCTGTTGGAGCCCAGGGAAGGGAACATTTCCACCCAGCCCCAGGTGGGCACGAGGGAGGAAGGGCTGAGTGGACGGTCGGGCACTAGATGGGAGAGGTAGCCACTAGAGTGTGCGTGCAGAGGGCGGGCAGGAAGAACAAGGCGGCACGAAGGCCTTCCGGGGCTGGGTCTCCATGATGTCAGTCCAGGGCGGGGCCAGGAAGATGGCAGAATGGATCCTGGTGAGGGATCAGGAATCATCCGAACTCAGGGCAGGACCACGCCCGCGGGGAAGCTGGTGGGTGAGGCGAGTCGGGACCAGCAGCAGCTAGAACAGGTGCGGACGAGAGGTGAGTGGACGTGCGGGCTCCAGAGAAGCAGGCCCATTTGTGGAGTAGCGACAGTCGCAGTGGCGGCCACTTGGGGGCCCCTTCAGTCCTGCAGAGACACAGTGACCAGACAGAAGTCACCTGTGTGTCCTAGGAGAGGACGCAGCCTTATTCCCGTGGTCCCCAACTCCCGCTCTGTGCTGCTACAGCAGAGGGACAGCAGGAGCAGGCCAGGCATCGGGGCAGCTTGAGGCCTGCTCTCTCTGCTGCAGCCTCACATTCCTCTCCTTCCTGGAGCTCTGGTGGCCACAATCACACCCCCTCCTGCTCTCTGCCTGAGACCCCCAGGGCTCTCTGCCTCCTCCCATCCTCTCTAGTGACATCCATGCTGAACATCTGTAGATATGTCCTGAGCATCCTTCCCCAGTCATCAAGGCCTGCCGGGACTTCCAGAACTCTCCAGTCAACCAGCCTGCCCACTCCACAGGCAGAAGGGCGGAAGGGAGCCAGCACCCAACTCTTGGGGGTCAGGAGATCCTCCTCAAGCATCAGTCCCCTCTTGGGGCCTCGTCTCCACTTCTGTAAGTGAATGGGCTAGACAGGTGCTCCCTGGCAGCTCTAAGCTCCTGTGTGTCAATGTGTCTGGCCAGCGGGGAGCAGCAGAGTCACCCAGCCCGTGCCCCTCAGCATGGCCCACTGACCGGAGGCTCCAGTACCTGCTTCAGAAAGGCATGGGGCCCTTATGGGAGAGGCGAGGCCGCTGGCGGCGAAATTTCCTCCGACCTCCCTGCCAGGGCCCTGGTCCGTTCCTCGACCCTCTGGGCTGCATCAGGTGGCGGACATTGCCTTCCTCCAGTCCTTTCCCGTCAGGAGGCTGCATCAGGGGCCCTGCAGGAAGGAGAAAGCCTGTTAGCAAGGAAAGCCAGTGAAAATGGGGTGGCAGGGGCCAGACGGCGGCCAGCAGTAAAACCTGAAGCTCTGTGAGGCTGAAGCACATGAGGAGGTTCAAGGACTGTGTCCAGAAACCTCCCTGAGATCTGGGCTGGCCAAGGGATGGGGGTCGATTGTAGCATCAGGACTTTGTTGGGGTGCTCTCTCTCGGTCTTTCTTGTACATGCAAGAAGTAAACAGACAAATGGAGGGAGCTGCAGACCGCAGGCCCCCATAGAGAGGGGGCCATCTCTCTCTGAGGCGGTGCTCCTATAACCTTTCTTTGGTTTTACTTCTCCTTCCCGATGGAAAATTTGCAATTTATACATTGTCCTGGAGCAGCGGGAACCCACTGCTCACATCTTGCCATGGAGGTAGCAAATTTTGCACCCTTTTGATAGTTCTATCCCATTCCTTGCAGGCACAAACAGGTGCTTTCTTTCTTTTTTGGGGGGGAGAGGTTTCTGGTATAGGGCACATGCACTTGCCAGACAGACAGAGAGAGACAGAGAGACAGAAAGCGAGAAATCCCCCTCCAAGGGGCATGGCCACACCGTAATCCCTTCTCCTCCATTCTCCTCTCAGGATCTTGGGCACGCACGCACATGCGCCTGGCGTGAGTTTAAGCCACCGGGTCCGGGACTCAAATTGTGGTCGACTACATGGGAGTCCAGCGACATAGCCATTACGCTAACTGCTGGTCCCCAGGTGCTTTCTTTGGAATGTCATGGCAGGGGGGCATTTTTAGGGCATCATACCCATGCTTAACCAGGACACAGGGGGCAGCAATCCCCTTGGCACCCTGCAGCAATTCACTTCAAACATTTCCAACACTTAATACAAGGACCCCCATCCCCACTGACCCCTCTCCCAGATTCAGCAGTTCCCCTGGTGGAACCTAGTGCTTTAGTTAGCGCTTTGCTCTTTTTCTTGGCTGCTATATTGTAAAGCAAATGTTGGGCTCCTGCACCCTTTGATATGCGTGACGACCCACTTTGAGTGCTCAAGATCTCATACCTCACCCCTGGGCCTCTCATCAGTGTCTGGGCATCTCTGGGTCTCCCTCTTGTCCCCAAGGTCTCCCTGTGGGTGTGGCTGGGGGCAGGACTCTGATTCCTGCCTTATGCTAGGTTCAACTCGGCCCATGACCAGACTTAGAGGCTAATGAATATTCCGTCAATGAATGAGGAAATGTCACCTGTAGCACCGTGTCTGGGCACCTGGAAAGGGGCGGGCTGTTGCAGCTGGCACCTCCCCACCAATGAATGCCCTTCCTTCTGTCATTGCCGGATCACATTCCCCATCCGGTGTCTGATGTACATTTCTTCCATTGCAACCCCAGCTGGCTTCTCTTCTGCATCTGGGGCTCCTCTCTACATCTGTCCACATCTGGCTTAGACTAGGAGCCTCCTCTATTGTCAGACCGAGCGCTGGGCTGTTGCAGCTGGCACCTCCCCACCAATGAATGCCCTTCCTTCTGTCATTGCCGGATCACATTCCCCATCCGGTGTCTGATGTACATTTCTTCCATTGCAACCCCAGCTGGCTTCTCTTCTGCATCTGGGGCTCCTCTCTACATCTGTCCACATCTGGCTTAGACTAGGAGCCTCCTCTATTGTCAGACCGAGCGCTGACAATAGCATCCAAGGAGTACTGGTGTTCTTGGGTGTGTTGAGGGAGAGCCTCTCATGGAGCCTGCAGTCTAACCAGGGGAGTGGAGCTGGCATTCCAAAGGCAAGCCTGGTGGCCAGAAGGAGGCAGGCAGCGTGGGGGGAAAGGATGGTGCAGGGGATGAGCGGACGGGCAGGGTGCTTGTGCAATGCCCGGGATGGGGCTGGCCTGCAGAAATACAGTGCCTGGGGCCAACAATAATGAACACCAGCCTCTCTCCCCTCACCCCATCAGATTTGCCTTCAGCCATATCCCTGTCCCTGGAGCCCCATTGCCATCCATCCAGGAATCTCCACCACCAGCTCACAGTTTCCATACAGCCTCCCGCTGGCTGCTCGCCTCCCAATCGTAGCCCTGGCATGATACACTCTGGCTGCTCCCCGCCCCACACATCCCAATGATCTGCTTCCTCCTTGCCTCCTTGGCTCTTGTGAATCCTCCTCTACTTACACACAAATTCCAGGCCTTTAGCCTCCTCTTGGACCAAAAGCAGGCGAGGTTTGTTCTTAGGGCCTCCTTCACTGAGGCGCCCAGGGCCTGCTGTCCTCCCACTCCCCACTCACGCCCAGACATCCACACCCACTCTGCACACGCACATTCTCCAACCCTCCCCTCATCCCTTCTCCCCAGGCCCATTAGGACCCTGCTGCTGACCAGGGACATTAACTAGCCAAACTTCTGGGCTCATGGTCGGGGTGAGTTAATGTGTCTACTCACACCCTAAACTCCTAAGCTTTGAGAGTTAAAACAAAAATGATCCTAACACTTTTGGGTCTGGCAGGTGGCGTGGTGGCTAAGGGCGCTAGACTCCCACATGGCCAACCATGGTTCGAGTCCTGGACCTGGCTTTCTCACTTTCTCTCTCTCTCTGTCCCTCTCTGATCAAATTGGAATGGATGAATAAATAAAGTTAAATAAAAAATAATTCTTTTAAAAAAGGATACTAGCACTAGTAAGTAAGCATGGAGCCAGGGGGCTGCCTCTGTCTGGCTGTCACAGCCACCCTCTTGGTGCCATCTGCGAAGCGGCTGGGGTTGGGGATGGAAGGAGGAAAGACCTTCCCTAAGCCCCCATGCCAGCTAATTCAGCCACTGCCCTGAGACTTGGGGTCTCCCCCAGGCTCCCCTGCTCACTGAGGGTGGGTCTGAACGATGCTGGCAAGGAGTGAGTAAGGACTGTGCTGAGATGGGGCTGGGCACATGGTAAAACTCTGCGGGGACTTGACAATGTATTGGGTTGTCAGAAAAGTCATGACTTTTTTTCTTTCTTTTTTTTTAAGAGAGATTTTTGCTCTAGGAAATGTGCACTCACTGGAGAGATAGAAAGACAGAGAGACGGAAAGTGAGAAATAACTCCTTGAGGGGGGAATGGCCATGCCACAATCCCTTCTCTTCTCTCCTCTCTAGATTTTGAGCATGCAAGCACACGCACCCAATGTGAGTTTCAAGCCGCCGGGTCTGGGGCTCGAACTGCAGTTGGCCATGTGGGATTCCAGCGATGTAAACATTACGCCATGCCGGTCCTAAAGCCATGTTGCATTTTTCTATGTTTTTCTATGCAAAAATGTGTCATGACTTTTCTGACAACCCAATAAGTGAGGCTTTGATTCTCACTTGCACGGGTGTGGACAGGCAGGGGGATGAGGGGATGCTGTGAGCATGGAGGAAAGAGACACAGTGCCAGGAGGGGCAGGTATCTCCATGATGGCCTCCCTAAGGTATCAGCACCCATGACTGGGAGTGTTTGTGGCGGTCAGGAAGGGAGGGTGAAGGGAGGTCAAGAGCCTGGGCGAGGGGCAGAGGTGGTGGTGCACTCTGGCCAGGAAGAGGTCTAGACTCCAGGCCTGCAGAGAAGAGCCACCCTGAGCTGCCTGAGCACTCGGGCCAGCCTTTGAGAGCAGCCGCCCAGAAGGCCCCCAGCATCCTGTATCCCTTTGGGTGGGGGGGCTCATTGTCCTCCTTGTGGCAGACTCCTCCCATGCCCTGAGCCCATCACCCACCTGTCTCCTACTTTTGATTGAGTCTGGCTCCCAGTCAGATAAGCTGACATCCGAAACCCTGGCTTTATGCTGTCCAAAGGGACAAATTAAAAGCTGTTGATTCTCATCACTGCAGAGGTCCTGAATATACTAAACGATTCCCCTTTAGAAGTGGGGGCCATGCCCAGTGCACTTAAATATGTCCTTCCAATTCATCTGCTACTGTCAGGGGGCTGAAGCAGTCCTTCAAAGCATCTCAAGCCTAGAGGGACTGGAGCCGTTACTCGCTGAACCATCCACACAGAGCCCTGCAGTCAGGGGGGAGCAGGGTCACATTTTCACGCAACCTCAACTCCAACCCTGCCGGCACACAGAGAGGGACGTGCGACTTTTCAGGAACACGCCAGCCTCACCAGGAACGATGCACCTGTTTTTCCTCCTCCTTGCAGCCTGGCCTGTCTTGTGATTGCTTTAGAAGCCCACACTCGCACCCCAGCGGGGACTCTGGTGGTGATGTCCCTCCACTGCCCCAAGCTCCTTCCTGGTTGACTTCAGGATGAAGCATTTTCCTTTGTGTAGCCAGCCCCCTGCCCTGTCACCTTCTCCGGTGCCTTGTGACATCTCCAGTGCCCAGTTTTGCTACCCTTGCTCTGGCAACCTGGCCCTGGCCTTCACTAGCATTAGTCCCGGGTCGGGTTACATTGGGTATTGGGAACGGAGTGGAGAGGCCCCCTCCCTGCTCAGGAGGGGTACAGTAGGCTGTCCTTGCAAGACCAGTGCCCCTGCAGGCCTGGAACCAGGACTGGGGACAAGAAGGAGAGACAGAGGTGCTCAGACAAAGACCAAGGGACACTTGGCCCTGGCCCAACAGCTCTCAGCCTTAGAAGAGCAAAGTGTATCCCAGGTCAGGAAGCAGTGGAGGAGTGTGGGTGGTGAGGGGGGTGACAGTGGCTGGGGTGTGTGCGGGGGTGGAGAGTCCAAGTCAGGACAGTGTGAACAGGAGGAAGCATGTTTTCAAGCCTGGAATTCTGACGGGGACTCTAGCTGGGGAAAACATACAACTGTGGGCCAGGCTTGTGGTAGCGCTGAGGTCCCCATTTCCAATCCAGGACAGGAGGCAGGAGGAGGGGGACTTGTGTGCCTGGACCCTTGACTGGTGGCTACTTGGGTACCCCTCTTTGGCCCAGGGGAGGTTGGGGAGAAGAGAAAAAAAAGTCAGTGGGAGCCTTGGAAGCTGCCAGCACTAGGCTTAATAACGTGAAATGTGATAGCGATGAATTTACCAAGTCAAGTGTGCATGTGAGCTGATGAAAAAAAGCAACCCAGGGCCAATGGTG